CAAAGACGTACTCTTGGGAGTTTTTGGTTAAAAGATAAAATACACTTTTCTGGGTTGATTTTTTGAGACAGGGTCTCACTATGTAGTTCAGGCTGGCCTTGAGCTCCTGGTGACCCTCCTGCCTCAGCCTCCCTAGTGCTGGGATTAAAGGAGTGCACTATCTGGCGATAGATAAATACACGAGGTTGGACAGAATCATGTCAGTTATCATGGCAGTCTTGATTCTAACCACATTTGAGTAAATTCAGCAATTTACGTATTCTCTTTTTGATTAGTAATTTAACATGACCAATAATGTGATCAAAATATGGGTGTAAACCTGCATGTAATACTGCTGTTGGGCTCCTTAACTATTTTACCCCTTGAAAGTAATGACAGGGGTGGACGTCAGTTGATCTATGAGCAGAGGGGAAGGCATGGAGAGGATAGTAAGAGCTGGAAGAGATGAGGAATGGCTAACATTGTTCACTCACACACTCAACACCTACTGCCTGCTGAGTCCAGGTATACAAATACTCAGAAACAGTCCTTCTCTAAATCAGGTTCACTCAGCAGCAGAGGAGAAAGACATTCTGTGGGAGGCTGAGAGACTGGGGTTAATTTTATGTGAGACAACAAGGAGGAGAAATAACCCTAGAATAAGACTTGTAAGTTGGAAGTCAAAAGCTGAGAAGGGTGGCAGCTGGGGATTCAGGTTTCTAAGAGCCATGGAGGCACGCTTAGAATGGCGCGGCCTCTTCTGACGCTGAAGAGGGGATCTGCACAGGATGCATGCACAGCCTGCTGAGCCCAGGGGTGTCCCAGCAAGGGCGCCTGAGAAGCAAAGAGGGTGTGAAATCCCACAGGGAAGCTGGATGCTGTGTCTTCTCATGGAGATGAGCTGCTGAGCAGGCTGGAGAGAGAAATGTGGGGCAACCCAGCTATGTAGCCTCAAGGAACAACCTAGAGAAAAGGGCAAGAAGGGAGGAGCTCCAGAGTCCCAGGTCTGCGAGCCCTGTGCTGCTCAGCAGTGTCTGCAGAGCGACTGGGTAGCTAGGACGTTTGCACAGAGGACTAAGCAGAGGGCAACAGCACTCATGAAGGGTACACAGGAAACAAATCTGTTTGTCCAGGAGCAAAATGGGTAGTTTAGATGCAGTTGAGGTCTGCTGAGGAATGTTCATCTCTTAGAATGAATCACTCACAGGCCCCTTCTCTGGACCCTAGAAAAAGCATGTCACCTAAAGCAGGAGACTTGGTGGCTGTGAGCGTGTGGACATGTGGTGCGTGATGGCACCACTGAAAGTGTGACTGTCTCATCTCCAGAGCTGTTTCCACAGTGGTGCCATCACAGAAGGTCACTCGCAGAGCGCACTGAGCTCACCGGAGGCTCAGCACCCACCCCATTCTGTTTTCTTGTATGTGGGACAGGACATGTAGGGCACATAGAACTGTGTGGAAATTCTAATCACCTTTTAAAATAATGAAACTGAAACTATTTTTTTTGGGGGGGGGGACCAGGGATCAAACTCACGACCTTGTGCTTACCAAGCAGGTGCTTAAAACACTGAGCTTAATCCGTGGCCCTGAAACTGAAACTTTTGAGGACTGTTTGTCTTCTGTAAAATGAATTTCTGGAGAGAATAATTGCAAGGCTTTATCGAACATTCCTTGCCTGTCAGCTACCATATTTATTGCTTACTGTGCATTGCAGAATTTTTGCTGATGCAGCCCCACGAAGCATGGACTATCACTACCCTCATTTTACATGGAAAGGAGCAGAAGCCAGTCATCCCAGTCATGATGAGTTAGCTGTGGATCCAGGATGCAAGTCAGCGGCCTGATTTTAGGGTACACACCCCTGACCAGGGCACCTAACTTGTTCTGAACTTCAGAGCTAGTGTCTCTGTCACCAGAAAAGAAGCCAGATTTTCCCATGCCTGGATCTTCAACTCTGGTGAACTTTATTTTCCACTTGAATTACTAGTGTGAGAGTCTCTTTCTCTCTCTCTCTCTCTCTCTCTCTCTGAAGTAAGTCTCTGAATAGCTTATGTAAAAAGAATTGTTCATATGGATATACAAAATGTGATAGACAGGTAGGCTGAATATTTAAATGATTACAGTAAAAAAAGACATTGCCATTAACCCCTAGAGAGAAGCCTTGTCATCTGAACACAGCTTATCACTTCCTTCCTACCTGAGGTGCCTTTAGTTGCACTGTTGTGGCTTCCTTCATGGTGCAAAACACTTACCTTTCATGGTTGTTTTTACTTCGTGGAACATCCAGAAATCATAGGATGTCCAAGTCCGGCGCAAATTAGGCAGATGCAGCCCTGTCATGTCTTACTGAGTCCACCTCTTGTAATTAGGGGTTAGAAAAATCTAGCCAAGGGCCTGGATCCTACTGCAAAGTCCTGCACGAGTTCAGCCGAAGACCTAGAGCTTATGACAGTGCCTCCCATGAGTCCAACTGGAGGCCTGGAGCCCATGACAAGGACTCAAGCAAGTCGGTTTTATGGATCTGCACTGGAAGATCCAAAAGTCAGTGGTAGAAGGTAGAAAGTCTATGCCAGCGGAGTGAAGGGTCTAAGCCAGTAGGCTGAGGGGTCTGCATTGGAGTCAAGAAGTAATGCTCAAAATAAGAAGCAGGGTTATCCTGAAAAGTACCACAGTCATCCTCAGTGACAATGAGGTCCTGAGCTCCTCCGACAATTAGGACAGTTAAGTACATATCAGGAAGCCAGCGTGACAAGCTTCCCCTGGAGATTAAACAGCACATGTTTTCTCCTCCAGAGCCAGAAAGTGATGCTCAATATGGGGACTAGAGCTCCTCCAAAGTGAGCCACAGCCACTCTCAGCGACTAGGTCCCGAACTCCTCCGATGAAAAATGGCCAGATTCATATGAGAAGCCAGCCACGACAAGCTCCACCAGAACATACAGCTCCAAACAACACACTTCACTCTTCCTCTCTGTCTCCTTTTATGCTGGCAAGTTTCCTCAGGTGGCCATCTATGCTCAGCACCATGCTGATTTAATTCAGCTGGTATTAAGCTGACCCTTTTAAATCCCTAACAATAACTTTTGGTTGGATGGTACTCAGCAGCAGGAGCAGTTACTAAATTTTTTATCACACTTCGTGAAGACATGAAAGGATGTCCTGAATTGCTTACAAAAGTGACAATAATGATGGTACAGTATGATCAAAGAAAAGGTATTGTGCAGGGTATTCATAGCAAGGTATCCTTTACTGTAATATTTTTAATTTAACCATTCACCCTATATGTAAATGACCTTTTGTTTGTTATTTAGTAGCATCACCTGTGTAGCCAGTAATGGCTTGTGAAAGAAATTTGCTCCTGTGCTTTTAAACCTCTCAAGTGATTCTATTGGGCAGGACAGTTAACACTGGTGATATGACTAAGAATAAGATGTGACTATGAAAAATCATTCTCTTCCTTGACAGAACATTTGGAATTTTCAATAGATTAAACAAACAAAAGGCACTGCTCAGGCTCAAGTGAACTGCAAACAATCAAATGGGTAAAACTCATTGTCAAGTCAATGATTCATTTAAAACTATGAATTAGCTGGAAAAGGGTAATGTTTCAAATCAAGTCAGTGCAGTAACATTAGTGTCACCAAGAGCAGTTTTTTACACACCTCCAGTATCTGAGGATGGAGGAAATGCAGGAGGTACTTCTAATTCTTAGGTAAACTTTGCAGGGACTTTGCAAGAATTTATGCTTTGTTTCTTTTTATAATTCATTCTTTGAATGTCACATTCATTTTAGTAAATTTGGCTTTACTTGTTAGGCAATATTTTAATGAGTTCAGAATTTTGTTGCTGGCTAGGAGCAAATTATTCAAAAAGATCTGAGCACACAGCAGTGGTTCCTATTAGTTGGGTGTGCCACACAGTCGTGAGCTCTTTGGTGCTCTGGCTTTCACTTCAGCTTTCTCACATGTAGTTCTTTAATACTCTTTAACAAGTGATGCCCGTTTCCACTTGTCATTTCTCAGTATTTTCTCTTATAGCTTATACTTCAGCTTTATAAAGAAAATTCTAAATAATTTGTTGCTATTTCTGTGGTGTATTACTGTAAATATGAGAGACATTTCATCTGTTAGTACTTTGGGGCATTGACTATTTTGGAGAAATACAGTATTTGTCCCTTAGTTTGACTACTGCTGCAAAGGGAGAGTGAGCACAAATGACACTGGAGATCATTTTTAGTATGTTCACGCTATCAAGTTTTAAAGTTATCCGTCACTAGCTTCTTCAAACCATAGTCTTTATCATCATCACGCACAGAGATGTGGTTCAAGCTAGCTGTGGATCCTAGAGGAACGCTGTGGGTCAATTATATACTCACGACAAGGAATGTGGCAGTGACTTAGGATTGCCAAATAACTGCATGCTAGGTCCTGTGGTAACAGCTTTAGTTGTATTATCTGGTTTCTTGAAGCAATTATGGACTGATCTATGACAGCTCTGCCTCCCGTGTTACAGATGAGGGAACTTGAGCTTGGATCGAGGACAGTCAGGTAAAAGTGGCAGAGGGAGAGAGCAGACCCGAGTCTGTCACGTCCAGTCACACTGTGACCACCACAGCACAGCACTCTCTTAAATAACAAAAACCATCCTCCATCGCAGTCTCATCTTCCCCAGAATCCATTTTCCACCAATCCTCAGATAATTAAGGCTCAAAGATGGCAGACAGCTTACAAGTCAGTCTGGACGGCACACTGTGAAAAACAGCAGCTCCCGTTGTCTTCTCAGAAGCACCAGTATTACCGTCGTCTTCTTTCTGCTCTCCTTGGGGACACAGCGAAGCAGAAAGCCACCTCCCACGGCCTCTTGTTTTGAGTGTTTTATGCCCCTAAAGGGAACTAGGACACACTGTCTTTAATGTGAGCCTCTTCACAGAAAGAACAAGGTGTAAGGGAATCTGAGTCGTGCCCACCTTGGAGGAGGAAAGAATACACTTCCATTACATGTGATGAATCTAATGCCAGGTCTGTGTTATTAACATTTTTATTGCTATGTGTTCCCATACAACAAACGGCATCAGTAGTGTACACTTTGATAAAAAGAAAATTTTAGCTTAGGAAAAAAGCTCAAAGGTCAGAATGTAATGACTATGTACATCGTGTGTGTGTGTGTGTGTGTGTGTGTGTGTGTGTGTGCATCTTTGTAATACCTCTGAGGACAAGACATATGCACATGCAAGTAAACTAGAGAGAATTTCATTCTGGGAAAATTTTAAGTCTCTGTGTTGTTTTATTATCTGAATTTACCAATTTTTTTGACCTTTAAATTCTTGCATAAAGTAGCAGCAATTCTTTAGAAATACATAGTCAAAGGCTTAAGCTTTTAATTGTAAGAGTTAAAATCCAAAAGTCCTTCTGTATTCTGTGCCTTAAGATGTTAATTATACTTTAGTTTCCGTAAGTTTTTAGGCTTTTTAGGTAATGACCTCAAAAACACTAAGCTAACAATACTTAACGTTTCTTTCAGGATGATTTAGGAAACACTGCTCTCTTTCACATATTTTTAAACATGTTTCTACTTCATCATTTCATTAAGGACCTAAGTTCCTATATTACCTTGAAGGGCACCACGTTGTATCAACTACTTTAAAAATGTAAAATGTAGACATAATATCAAATTTGTTCAATTTTAGTTCTTTGAATTGTCTGCAGTGGTTTGCTTAAATTTTCAATGCACAGAACAAAGCACATTTCTCTACGTATGTCTCTCTAGTTTACTAAAATTAGTGTAAATATTTAGCACATAAAATACCATCAAGAAAAAAAATCAACTTTTAATAAATAGTTTCAGTTCAGAATTCTATATACAGGTACTTTACATCTACTCCCTGGAGAGAGCATTTCTGGCTTTGCTGTGTGCCAGGTGAACACTGACAGAGTTACGAGCACTTCATTGCAGTCAGATGCATTGTGGTTGTGAACATTTGGAGACGAACTGTGCAGAAAATAAACATCTCAACCATTGATGAATGAATGCTCTCTTGAACCTTCCAAAGCACTTTCATATTCAAGGGTCAATTCCAGTTTGATGATGCCTCTCAGTTACCAATACACAAATTATCTACATGTTTCCTTTGTGGCTATTGGAGTACATCAAGTATTACTGTTCATGCATCAACAGTGGGAAAATTTAAAAAAACACAGAACACAGGACATGTGCACTAGAACTTCAGGGCTGTCTTGAGCAGGCAGACTTTCAGTTCCCTGCACCCATCAGTGTGCTCAGCCTGCAATTACAAGGGTGAAAGGCAGGGAAGATGAAGTCTGCTTATGGAAGCTTTTCTGTCTTTTTCTTTTTCTGTAATTTAGCTACTGTGTTGATGATTTAACAAAAACCATGCTACAAAACCTTGTACTGCTGGTAGCTGTAACTGTACCTTCTCTGTAGTATCCTGCTTTGAAAGCCAACCCATGGAATGTGGGATAAGTCAAATAAGGCAATACTCAACAACAGGCACCTAGAATGTCCAGAAATGTAAGACGGTAAACAATCGTTTTGAGAACATCTCAAAATAATGTGGATTTCTGCAATGTACAGTATTTACACAACAGCTGCAAATTTGCTCATACAATATTTCTAATATAGATAAATAGGAATACAAGTCTAAGAATTCTTTGCCCCATTTCCAAAATTTCTTCTCAAAGTGTAAACTGTTGGCATCTCTTCAATTTTTACTTTTTTAAAAGAAAAATACCAGCTGACATGCACAGTTCATTTTAGTCCCTGTTCTTCTTTAGAGAATGACCAACGCAGCAACTTATTTTCCTTCTGTTAATAATCTTTGGTGCTTTCTTCCAATGAATCTTGGCAGATGAGTCCATGGAGAAGAGGAGGAGGAGGAGGAGGAAAGGAACGAGAAAGTGAGCCAGCACTTTTTGTTTTCCCACCAACAGATAAAGTATCTCTGACACTTTCCACTTTCCACTAACCCTGCTGAGGGGAATCCTTCTGATTCCTTCCTGCTGGTTCTTTTCCTCATCTTTCTAGGCTGGGCGAGCTTATCGGAGGTCTCTTATTAACAATCTTCCCATCATTCCTTGAGGTTCTTGTCTGAGAAGCACCTACGGAGTCACCGGCTGCAAGGGAAGGAGCAGCAGCCACTCCTGAGTGTGAGCGCGGCAAGGATGCCGGCAGGGAGAGCAGGCCCAGCACCTGCCTTCCGGCCTGCCGAGCCCCGCTCCTGGGTGAGTTAGCACCAGCAGGCCTGCTGTTCAGCCTGAAAGCAGCATTCGCATTTGGGCTTCCCACGGAAGAGATGCTATTCACAGGTTTTTTCTCAGTGGACGCCTCCGTGTAGGAAGGAGCCAAAGGTGGGGGGATAAGGAGGGCATGGGGAAGGCCTGTGGGACTAAAGACTGCGTCCTCCTGAGCCTCAGCGGTCTCTGGCAAATGCAGTGGTGGCAGGGTGCTGCTGCGCCTGCTGCAGGACTCACAGCACAGCCTGTTGTAACCTGGTATGGAGCAGTACCGGGCCAGCACCTCCATCTGGCAGAATATGGACTTATCTCCCAAACATGGCTCATCTGCAGAGAAGAAACAGAAGAGCATTATACATAAAAAGACTTTTATGATCCTAAAAAGATTTGGGTAGAATATATCATCAGTGGGAACTGTGCATATGAACCTTCTAGTGTGAAGGTTCTATAATACTAACCCTAAGACAATGTTACTGAAGTGACTAATTCTTTGCCTGCAAAGTATTGACCCGCACTGTCAATATGTCCACCAGGAGTCTTCAGATGATTGAGTAGGAGCATATTATGTGACTTTAGAATGAGAAAATAGAATGTATCTTGCTACAAACATTTTTGGGATTAAAAAAGATATCTCTTTTTAAAAAACTATTATTCTATTTCTGGCTTTCTAAATTAAAAGTCATACACTAAAGACCAATTAGAACAAAAGATATATTAAAAATGTCTGTCCAAAAGAAAAATGAAAGTGCTATTTTGATAAAGGGAACAATCTCTGGCTTCAAAGTAAAAGTTTTATGTTAACCACTGCATATTCTTGGACTGCTATTTGAAAGCACAAATTTGGGTAAAGTATGCCAACTTTTAAGTTTCATTGATTTGAGAGCATTTTATGTTTAAAGGAGAGTGAAATAACACAAAGTATACCTGTACCACTTTTATTTTAAAATTTTATTGATTGCAGGTTGTAAAAACTAGATTTGAAAAATTCTAAGAGCTCCAGGCAGTGTTTCTGTGGATGGATTCCCAGGGTCCAGGGCCTCTGCGTAGGGGTACAGCCATGTCCTGGGTATCAAGGACAAGCAGACCTACGCGGCTGAACCCGTGCCTGCAACACGAGAATAGCGCGCCAAACCCACCGGATAAATTGTATGCTGTGCCCTCAAGGGAATGGTCCCTTGAAATCACAGTGAACTATTGGACAATCTACACAACTTGCCCTACAATGTGCTGACGAAATAGAAGAATCCTTTTTCCAAAGTTTGGGGAGAAAAAGGAGGCTAAGTTGCTGTAGTTCACAGAAGGCTAAAATGACTGACTTTGTGAGCGGTCATACCCACACTGTGGAGTAACTCCACTGCCTTGACATCTGCAGGTCTCTTGTGCAGCTGATGGCCAGGTATTTCTTGCTAGCTAATGGTTATGCCGTGACTGCCTGAAGATTACATGAATGGGTTTCACCTCCAGTCTCAATTCCCCATCTTTTGGGAATTGCTTTTCAATGGCTGTATCTTACACTAAGGAGAGCGCTTCTCTCAGTCTGCTCATGGCTTTAGGTACGGCCTCGTAATCTTTCTCTCCCTCTGGCTCTTGGCCGCCACTCTGTGAGGTTGGGTTACAGAAGAACTCAAGGGGGTCACTCCCCATCGGCAGGGGTACCTCAGGGCTGCAGAGACCCATTCTCAGCCTGAGGCTCCCAGAGATAGGATGGGCTATCGCAAGGAATTAGAGAGGGGAGGCATATTCTGAGGAGAAACATGCATGAGTGAAGATATCCCTTAATTTTATGGTCACTGGCCTAAATGCAGTGAAAAGCTTCAAGCAAATAATATATTTACTGTGACCAAAATAAGGGGTCGTATGACAAAATCAATCTTAAAATTCAAGAATTTTTTTAGCATTTTCTCTCTGTGTCCAAATCATTATAAGAACTTCCAAAAACGGCTTTAACACCTGATCTTAAAAGATCACTTGATTCTAACAGCAGCTTCAGATTCTGACGGCCACTGTTACATATTTGAGTGAAATAGAGAAGAATTATGTGACCTTTGAGAACACTCAGACACAAGTCCACAGCACCCTGACTTTGGCTTTCCAGCTTCCAAAACTATGAGCCACCTGTTTCTGCTGTTCCTGACTTATCTGATTCTGTGACGACAGCCTGAATGAACTCAGAGCAGGGGAGGAAAGGGGCAAGGAGCCAGAGGAGGAACAAAAGAGGGAGGACAAGGGGAGGCGGGTGGGAGCACAGCCGGGGGGGGGAGGGCACAAGGACTGGAGGCTGAAAGGGGGGGGCAGACACACCCTCTGACAGGACCAGGACGGTCAGGAAGCACAGGAGCCCCACTGACTCAGGGAGGGGCGGAAGTGCTCATCTCCAGAGACAGCACAGAAAAGGGGCCCCGGGAGATAACCTGGGAGACAAGCACACCAACCAAGACTCTTTTTGTGTTTTAAATGAAATAAACTCTATTTTTGTGATACGACAAGCTGGTGGGTCAGGCTATTGCTTAATTTTAGCATATGTGCAGGATGATTACTTCAAATCACTATCTATATGAATGATGATCACTGGAAATAGCTTTAGAACTAACACTGATCACGTACATGTCTAGAATAATGTTTTCAGTAACATATTTCAAAACCTGCTGTGATATTACACCTTTAAAATGAGATGAAATTTTATTTAAAGACTAGGACAGAGAAAAGTAAGCTGTCTCCCCACCGGGAACACACACTCCTGAGACCCACCTGTGCCCAACACAGCCGTGCTCTGAAAGACCACCACAGGGTCACAACCATTACACAGTTTGGCCTGGGGCCCCACACAGTATTCTCTGACTCATGTTTCAGGAGTATTTTCCTTTGATTAATTCTCAGTAAGAAAATATGCTCCAGAGCTTACCCTGGAAGGCAGGCCTGCTTCTTGAGGTCAGGAACCAGGGTCAGGCAGTTTAACCTACCGTGGCAGGGTGGCAGCTGACAGGCTCGCTTGGACACGGGCCTTTCCCCACTGCAGTGGTCTCCAGCTCTGCAGAGGACTTGCCTCACCTCCGTGCCTTCGCCACAGGTCACTGAACACTGAGAAACACAGGCTGGAGTTAGTCCTGTTTATCCGACTGGAACCGAGCGCATCATGTGCACACGTCATCCCGACTTGCAGTGGTCCACCTGGCTCCTCTGTGACCAATCTGGCTACATTAGTTTCACTGCATGGACCCTGGCCGCCGCCTCTGGGAAGCTGGGTGTAATGCTTCATGCCTAGAACATGCCACAGGACTGCCTGATGGCTTAGGAAGTGACGTGTGTGAAGTGGAGGAAGCACCTGCACCTGACGCTGTGTGAAAGAAGCCATGAGGGGATGCTGTCGCCCCTGCCAATCTGCAGAGACCCAGCCCTGGTCCTGAGGTTCCTGTCCCTTTATCCTTCTCAATGACCCACTACCTTGGGTAATTTAACCTCCTCCTTCTGATAAATCCTTCTCCCTCATGAAGGGGCTGCCTGCTCTAAAGGTAAGCCTAGCAATGTCTGGGTGGCTAATACCTGGGTAGAAGCTGGCGGAGCTGGGTCCAAGCCTCTGAGGAGGCAGGGACACGAGTGACCACTGTCATTGTATGTGGAAAGGCTCCATGTGCCTGCTCATTCCTTCCTGGCCCAGGTCTCTACCTCCCCTTATTCTCTGATTTCCAATGCCTTTCCTCCTTTAGACTTTCTGTGGCCCCACAACTCCTTATTTGGAGTCTTTAGAAATATGAAACAAAAGTGATAATGCAGGTGACACAACAAGAGTCAGCCAGTCATCAAATGAGAATCACCACACGAGGACCCTCTGGGTGCTGGGGCAGCAAAGCAAACTTCCCTTGGAAATGTGCAGACCACAGAGGAGCGCATGGCCCCAGAATCGCCAACTCTTGCCTGACCAGCATGCTGGAGGGAAGTTGTGCTGTCTTGCATGTGGAAGACAGACTGTCACGAGACGGGAGGGTGGAATCTAGGCTGGGGTGTCGGGCTCTGGTGCGGAGGGGCGGGGGGGTGGGGTGGGAAGAGCGCAAGGGAGGGGAAAGGCAGGAGGCCGGTGCAGGCACACTCTGTTTGGAACAGGAAGACATTTATTCAAATGGGACCTGGAGCTAGAAGGAAGGCAGACCGAGAGAGGGCCATCGAGTGGCTCACAGCGAAGCAGGTCTCTGCACTGGGTCTCTGCACTTGCGGGCTGGGATGTCTGAGGGAGTACAACAAAGACCTCAGTTGCAAGGCTAGTTCCCTCTCAGACACCTCCATGTATGAAACACTAATTGTGGTTCGTCCACAGGTAATCTCACCCAGAAATACTGTTGCAAGGATTGATTTCTCTGGCCCCTCCCATGATGATGAAATGCAACACTTTGCAGTTCACACATAGCCCATGTGACACTGAAGCCAGACTGACATATGCCACACACACTGGCACATGATATCCCACACCCACCTCATTCCAGGGTCCTGTTTTCCACTGAGCCGGGCAGGGCACCCTGTTGCAGGGCCGGCGGCTCTCGGGACGCTCCCCAACACAGTACTTGCTGTTCACAGAGCGGTTGGTGCCATTGTGGAGTGGCTGAAGGCAGCGGACAGTGCGCAGCTGGAAGCCAGAGCTGCCGCAGGTCTTGGTGCAGTGTTCCCAGTCTTCTGCCACCCAGCTGTGCGTGGAGTTGAGGTGGAAGAGCGTTACAGGGAGGATGGGGTGTGAGCTCCTGGACCTGACTGCCCCCCCCCAGCAACTTGCAAGCCAGCGGACCCACTGCTGGCAACGGGGTGGTCCAGGCCCTGCACCTTCCACTTCATTTCCTGTCCTTTCTGTCTCACAGTGACTCTGCAGGCTTCAGACTAAAGGATTCTCTACAGTTTCTGAAATACATCTTTCTTGAGGTTGCTCTGTACAGTTCAGGCAGAAGAGCACATTTCAGAAACACCTGCTCAAACTTAGCCACAGTGCCAGTTTTTGCAGCCCAAAATGTGCACAAAACAGACCATACATGGCTTTCAAAGGCCACCAGATTTGAGTGCTGACACCTCCTGGAATCCTGGAGTTTATTCATATCTTAGTATTCCAACTGGGCTGATGGCTCACTTCTACAGTAGCTGCTATGGAATGTCAATCTATGCTGGTTACAAGTCAGTTCTCTGGCCTTTTCTAGGCCTGCCCGAAAGGTAAAGGCAGCATATGCCAACAGGGCTGGGAGGAAATCTCTCTCAGGAAAGCAGGGACAGTTCAAAGTGGCACTTTCAGACAAAATACTGCCAGACTCTAGGTTAGTATCAGTGTCTAAGCACTATCCAAGTCTGCTCTGTGAAGTTCCCTTTCCATACAGTTACTAAGTCCTATAGGACCGTGATGGTGAAATCCATCTGGTAATCAGAACTGTGTGTCTATGAAACGCGCTTCTCAGGAACATGCGCCTTTTAGTAAGAGTCAAAGCTGAAGTCTTCAAAACTGAGCAAAATGACAGCCCAGCTGCCACAATAACATCCAACTGCCGATCAGAAAGAGTAAGGCAGTCTGAAACATGAATATGAAAGCATGACAAAGATCGGTGGTTATATTTTGGTTCTTCATACCCACCGAAAGAAAAAAATGACCACAGAGGGAAAACAACTTGTAAAGGATAATGAAACAGTATCCTCAGGGCTGGTGGCGCACACCTGTAATCCCAGCAATCGAGAGACAGAAGAATCACGATGAGTTTAAGGCCAATTAGGCTTACATAGAAAATTCAAAGATAGTCTGGGGGGCCAGGGATGTGCTCAGTGGCACAAGAGGCATACTGGCAAGCACAAGGTCTTGAGTTTGAATTCAGATACAAAAAAAGCTATCCTGAACTACAGACCTTTTTATTATAAAGAAAATAAAACACAATGAAACAAAGCAGATCAGAACAAAACAATGCAAGCAACACAAGATTTCAAAACAAGACAGCAAGAAATCAACAATGGTTACTATAAAGTCTTTTGTTTTCTTCAAAACAGTTGTCCATATCTTCACACATAACAAAACAAAATAGTATAAAACATGAAAACGAGAATGAAAGCATTAGAGGCCTTCAAAACCAGACAGTAGGAAAATCAACAATCCACCACAGAGTGAAACCTTTTCTCAAAAAAAAAAAAAAGCCAAAAACCAAAAAAACAGAAAAAAAAGGGGGGCATACCTCAGGGATATACTCACTGGTGAACCAGATGGGGTTAGAAGGAAAATATTTAGAAATATGACATAAAAAGGAAATCATATTTAATATCCTAAAAGTAACCAAAATATTGCATTTATGAAATAAAACAAATGATAAAGGAATAATTGAACAAAATAAAACTTTTGGATATTAATGATACGATAGCAACACTGCGAAACTCAGCAAGTGGAATAAAAGCTGAATTACCAAATTTCCCCCCCAAAAAAAAGAATACGAAAAATATCACAGAAAATTTTCAATGAAAATCTCCCAGAGATGAAAGGTTTTATGTTCTAAAAGTCTACAAGCATCATTTGCAACAATATGGATGAACCTAGAGGACATTTTGTTAAGTAAAATATGCCAAATACAAAGAGACACACACGACATGACCTCACAGGTGGAATCTAAAAGCAGTAAACGTGTGTAAGCAGTGAGCAGAAAGGTGTCCACCAGAGGCTGGACGGGGTGGGGAGAGGACGGGACACACTGTCAAGTAATAGTTTTGGGACTCACTGTAAAACACGTCTTTATACACAACTTACTACATACTTTCCTAGGTGGCTACTTCTATAAATGTTTTACTTTGTATATACTTTTTGCATGAAATTCCTGAAAGATACGAATGAAGAAATGAGAAAGCGCCTGCCACAGGCAATGAGATCCCACTGGAGAGAGAGGCCAGTGGGAACCTCCAGGAGAAAGCCGAGCAGAAGCTCCAGCTGCAGCGGGACGCAGAGGACTCCTGTGTCTCCACCACGATGAGAGTGAAGGATACTATTCAGAGGGACGAGTGCCCAAGGAAAGAGTTTAAGCATGAATTTGTGAAAAGCGGTAGAAAACAAACATAAAAATCAAGGCTTCCATTTTAGAAGAAACGAAGCTTTACAAGAATGTAAACATAACCAGATCATTCCATGTGATTCAGCTTTTAAGTTATAAGTTAGCATACACCCTGAATATTATCATCAGAATATTATCAATCCTGGAATACTGGGAAGAGGAGGCGTGTGGGTTATGAGTGCTGCTAGAGATGCTCGGTCCTCACATTCCATAGTGGAAATTCAATACACAATACTGAATACTGTGCCCCAAATGTCGAGGACTAGCAACACAAGTATTTTACTAAGAAAGGTGGAAATAATTAATTACCAAATATCAAAAGACAGGCAGCAGTTGAAGGAGAATATGGTAAAGGTAGGTAATGAGAGATTTATATAAAACTCTTATTACATTATTTGATTACCAGATACATGTAAAGATTTGAGCAAAAATTAAACCTGAAAAGAGCTAAAGTCATTTAAGCCCCTAATCGGGCTCCAAATGTAACAGATGAAATATGCTTACAGGGGATGTGTACACTCCTGAATGTTGCACATTCGTCTGATAGGTTTTGGTTTCTTACTGGCCTCACAGAAGTTACGGTGAACCATCTTATTATCACTTTTCCGGCGGCATCCATATTTAGTGTACTGGAAACCTGGAAAATGAAACATTTCTTTGAATTTAGACATTTATTTGTTGAATACCCATTCACTTACACATTCAGTCATTTCATAAATATTCACATGCACAGGAATCACTTATTCATTTCATATTTACATGCATAGTAAGCCAGGTACTGTGATAGCTTTTAGAGATTCTATCACATTCAGTGAAAGAATTCTTACTTTTCTAGCCTAGATTTAATAAATCTTAAAATTTATAAGACAGCAACTGTGCATCTGCTGGTGAAATAGACTCTGAATACATACAATGCAGTGTGAAGAACAGATTTCAAACCACGGTGACAACACCCAGTACCAAAGGCTTTTACAGTCTTCCAGTGGCCACCTGCGAGAGCACCAAGGGAGCACAGAATAAAGGCCTGGAGTTAGGGGAGGAGGGCAGGGAAAGCACCCAAGACCAGCGCTTCCCACCGCAGAAGAATCCTAGAGCAAAGTATTAGGAAAAGGACAGGAGCAGGAGTGCACTCTGGGGACAGAAGATGAAGAAACTCCAGGTGCTACAGAAGGCGGACTGCTGAGAGTGCAGAGACTGAGCAAGAGCGGATCTGGCCTGGCGGCCTTGAGCTAGACAAAGACTCGGACTTTACCCTGAAGGCCATGGGACTGACCAGAGAAGGTTTCCTGCATCTGCTGTTTTCATGTTTGTAAAAAACAAGTTATAAAAGTTTGAAAATGTTCAAGCCTACAAAAAGGTTGTAAGGAAAGCACAATAAATATTCATATGTGGTTTGTTACTATGTCATCATATTTACTTCATAAAGATATATATCAGTATATACGTGTATTTACGTAAAAATTTTACTGCATGTCTCAATTTTTTCTGAACTATGAGAGTAAGTTACAGATATCTTGACCCTTCACTCCTAAGTTTTTCATAACAAGCAAGTAACTACAAAATAACTATTAGAATCAGGAAATTTAACACAGATGTAATTCTGTTATCTAATTCAGTGTTTAGATCATATTCAACATTTATCCTCATAATGTTCTATACAACAATGCTTTTCCAGGTAAGGGTCATGTGTTACGTTTAACTTCTCTACGTCTTTAACTTCTATCAGAAATAATTTCTGAGCCTCTTTCTGTCTTTTGTGGCATTTAACATTTTTTTCAAGTACATAAGCTAGTTGTTTTGCAAAGAGTCCCAAAGTTTGGTTTGTTCAATAACTCATGATGGGATTTAGGTTATTTACTTTTGGGCAAGAATACTACTTAAATAATGTCATGTGTTCCGGGGCACCCCAAGGAAAGAGTAAGGATTTAACAGGAAAATAACAAGATTCCATTCATTCATCCACAAAAGTTTACCCTGGAAATAAAGAAAAAGAAGAAAAGTCAGCTAAGTGGGGAACAGGCCGTGGCGACAGTCTTTTCTTCCAGAACAGGGGAGGAAGCCTGAAGAGGAGGGGACAGATGTCACCCACACAAGACAGTGTACCTGACAAATCTGACGCTTGGTGGATGCAAACATTCAGCAGAAAAAAGGATTCAAGTTAAATAAGCATCTGATGATGGATAAAGATGCATTTTTCTTAACCAATCAAAACATTTTATCACCCTTACACACTTGAAAAATACCTTCTTAAACTTTACATTGTAAATGGTTCACACTAAAGCATTTTCTGTCATGGCCACATTTTTTTGTTCTCAATTACTTTCTGCCATGGCTGTGATGGCCCTTGCATTCTGCTGTCCACTGGACAGTTTTGTCCGGTCAAGGTTGTTGAGAACCAGAGGAACAGGTGGCAACAGGGCCCTAGTGTAGCTCAGAGGGTTTTGTTGAGGGAGGTGGGGGCAGTGAGTGTGGCGAGGAAGGGCACGCATGAAGAAGGCAGGCTGCCTGCATCCGAATTCCAAGTCTTAGACAAATTACCGTCTTTCCCTGTGCTTTGGTTTCACCAACCAGAACAACAGAGACAAAAACAGCAGCAGTCTCTTAGGGCCTCCTGGAGTATTCATGCACTTCACAGCACTGAGAACAGCATACTCTGTTGTCTATCCACATGAAGCTGGTAGCTCTTTCAGTAACACAAGTGGAAAACCAGTACACAGGCACGGAAAGTGGAGAAAAAGGGTGGCACCTGCATTTGGGAGGGCTTAGGAGAGGCAACATGATCCAGAGCAGCACTGCTGGGACCCAGAGACGAAGAACTGTTGCAAGAGGGATTCTGCTCTACTGCTGTTATCAGCGGAACCCTCTTCGCTGCTGATCCCCACATTTTCCATAACCATGTTTTACATTTACACTTTGGCTGTTAAGTGTAGTGTCTCTTAGCTGCAGCCTGAGTTACATGCCGTCTTTTAAAGCAGCATGAATGTGTTCTGTCCGTACCTCCACCACAGGGCTTGGAGCACTGAGACCAGCTCTTCAGAGCCCACTCAAAGGTGTCCAGCTCTTCCTGGATAACATTATTGCTGCTGATGGTGGGCACAGAGTCCTCGTGGATGATGTACTTGTAGGTCAGGCTGGAGGAGCGGGTGACGTTCTCCTGAGGGATGATCTAGCACATATGCAACACGGACGTGTAAATCAACTGAGCATTTTCAATTTGAGGTGAAAACTTATAAATATTTAACAATGCTGTTTTTACTGAAACGGGAAAACTTCTAAGTAGTTTCTAAACTACAATGTTTTTATTTCTATTAAGTGTAAGTATACATTGTTTCAGAAAAAATGTAAATATAAAAATTTGTACATAAAATATACGAATAAAATTATATGCAAATATAAAAATGTGTACCTAAAATGCACACATGCTTATATTACAATAATAACCTTGCTCACTGTAGGCTTCCTGAAATTACCATCTCCTTGGTACATTTTAAAGTTGTTCTTGATAATCAACTGTTTTGTTATGGTAAGAAAGATAATGTCTCTCCAGAAAACACACCATGGAAACACATGAAGAAGGCAAAAGCAATGCACAGCTCCAAAGAACCAGAGGACCCTAGAGGCACTGAGAAGGCAAGGAGTCTCTTGTGGTGTCACACAGTGGGGTGTGCAGGGGGTTTCTGCCTCGTTTACTCCCTTCATGTGGTAACATTTCCCACAGCAGGATGGATCCCTGAAAAGTGCTGTGACAATGTCAGTATGGTCTTAGTTCCAGCAGTGCAAATCATTTCATCACTTCCTCACTCACCAGTGTGTGGACTGTCCCACCTTGATGGAGCCTTGGTCTCCGCAGTAGTCCACACCATACAAGCTCCAGCAATTCATTAAGACACGGAGTGCACTGCCTTCCTTGGACCCCCAGATCTCCACTGGCATGCATGGCCCAGTGGCTTCTGTGCACTCCCTCCCACTCTCGGAAACACCTCCCTACCACATGGACCTAGTACTGCTGTTGATCTTGGACTTCCACTCCTCCTCCCAGAACCTTGGACTGCACTGGATTAATCATGCTGGGTTCATGGGAGACTCAGTAACCCATCATTCAAAAAGAAGACCTCAGCAGGCTTCTGTCAGTGTGGTAAGTATACCCCTAAAATAGAGGACTTCAGTGGATAAACAGGAGCAGTAGCTAAGTCCCCTCCAGCTGTAGAAACTTAGGTGAGTCCTTCCTCCATACAAAGGACCATCAGGTGGGTTGAGGAGTGTGCCAGGTGCCCCCCCAACCTGGAGACAATGAAAAGGGGTTATGAGACACCAAGTAACACAGTAGGGTCCCAGTGGAGAAAAACACTATAGCCTGGGAGATCTGGTGACCTGGAACAACCTGAAGACATAGCAACAGCAGGAACTAAGGGATGACTTATATCACTACTCCTAGGCTAGACAGTCTAGGAAGAATATAAGATGCACCAAACAGGCCCTGCAGGAGGAATTCTGATAACTAGCCTCCTCTTCACTGTGGTACCCAGCAATCGGACAAACATCAAACACACAGTAGGACCCTAAGATACACACTACCAACAGTTGAGACTGGTGGCATTAAAAGACCAAATATTAGCCACAAAGATGAAAATGACAAAATGAGAAAAAAAAAAAAAAGCAAAATGCAATCTCCAACATCTAGTGCATCAGGAGCAAGTACAGGAGACATTGAAATAGAGGACTTTAAAAGTCATACACATGAAATCTCTGAAAAGATAGAAAATTCAAGAAAAAACTCCATGAGGCTATAGAGGAAATCAAATTAGAAATTACTTCTCACATGAAGACAGAAATAACAACCTTAGTAAAGGAGTTGCTCAGCGCAGCTAGAGAAAAAAAAAATAGATAAAAAAGTGCAGGAGCATGGGAAACTGAAATCTTGAATGAACAATGTAGAAAACAAGCAGAATCCATGAAACAAACTCAAAGAGACAGCCAAGCAACAAAAAATTCTATTCAAAGATGGCAAAACTGTTTAGATGAAGATGAGGATAGAATTTCAGACCTTGAGTACAAGATAGTAGTTAGCAATCATGAAAGGATAGAATTTTTAAAAATAACAAAGCAGCATGAAATGACAATCCACCAGCTTCAAGATGATGCCAAGAGAAACAATATAAGACTAATGGGCAGGAGTCAACATAAATGACATCAGTAAACTATTCACAGAAGTAATAGTAGAAAATTTCCAAAACACAGGGGAAAAAAATCTTATATACAGATAAGTGAGGAAAATACAACACCAAGCAGTCATAACCAACATAAATCTATACTCAGACATATAATAATTAAGATCCCAGACATAAGATAAAACAAACACATAAAAACAGAATACTAAAAGCTGTTAGAGAAAAGACACAACTCACCTAGCAAGGAAAGCCCATCAAAATCACAGCAGACTTTTCAGCACAAACTCTCAAGTCAAGATGAGCTTGGAGTGAGATATTTTAAGCCCTAAAAGAAAACAACTTTCCACTCAGACTGATGTACCCAGAAAAACTGTCTTTCAAATTTGATGGAGAAACAAGATAATTCCATGACAAAGAACAGCAGAAGAAATTCATGTCCACCAAACCAACTCTAGAAAGAGTAGTGAAAGACACGTTAGATAGAGATCAAAATGACAATCTCCAGAACAACAACATAAAGAAACCAAAAGACAGGGCAAGCAATTAAACAAGGGGGAAAAAGGCGAAAACCAACAACAAGAACATAACATGACAAAAGTGAGCCAGTTCACATCAGTTATATCCACCAATGGCCTCAGTTCACCAATTAAAGGAAATACATCGACAGAATGATCAAGAAAAAGGATCCAACAATATGCTGTATACAAGAAACACACCTGACTCAAAAAGAAACTCATAGATTACAAGTCAAAGGATGGAAAACAGTATTCCATGGAACAGGAATGCAGAAAAAAGGTATTCAGTTTGCAGATAATGTGAACTTCAAATATCAAATGATTAAAAGAGATAAATAAGGTCACTATATACTTGTTTGTGAAAACTTCAAGAGAAAGAATAATTATAAATATATATGCACCAAATACAGAAGCGCCCAACTATATAAGACAAATACTAATGGAGATGAAAAACCAAATACATAAGAACACAATTGTAATAGGACACTTTAATACCCAATTGTCACAAAGAGATAAATAACTAGATAAAAAGTCAGCAAAGAAATAGTAGAACTGAATCATACCTGTGAGCAAATGGACTTAGTAGATGTTTACAGAGACACAACCACATCAGAATACACATTCTTCTCAGCTGCACATGGGACATTCTCCAAAATAGATCATATATTAACCCATAAAACATTCTTAAGGATAGAAATTATCCCATGCATATTATCTGACCACAGTGCACTTAAATTGGAAATTAATGGCAAAAGAAATTGCAAAGCCTGCAGAAATACATGGAAATTAAATAACAATTGCCTAAACAACTAGTGGATTACAAGTGAAGTTAAAGAAGAAATAAAACAATATTTAAAATTCAATTAAAATTCAGATACAAAATATTGTAACCTGGGAGACACCATGAGAGTAGTCCTAAGAGGGAAATACATAGCAATAAATTGTCATATCAAGAAAACAGAACAAGCACAAATAAACAATATAATGCTATATCTCAAGCTTCTAGAAAAAGAAGAGCAAGTAAACCCAAAGCTCAGAGAAGAGAGAAAGTATAAAGATCAGAGCAGAAATTAATACAAGTGAAACTAAAAAATAACACAAAGAATTAATGAATCAAAAAGCTGTTTTTTTTTGAGAGAATAAACAAAATTGATAAGCCCCTGGCCAACCTTCTCAAGAAAAAGAAAGAAGACACTCAAATTCACGCAATAAGGTCTGAAAAGAGACAAATTATTACAGAGCCCATGGAAATTCAAAAGATCATGAATACTTAAACTTTGAAAATATCTATTCACATAGGGGGAAAAAACAGACAAAATGGATGGATTACTGGAAACATGAACTACCAAAGCTCAACTGATTGAAATTGAAATTGAAAACCAAAACTTGATTAAACGTTACTGAATGTTATAACTTACCAACAAAGAAAAGCTCAGGTTCTGATGGATTCACAGTTGAATTCTACAAGAAACTTGAGAAGATCTGAGGCCAATCCTTAAACTGTTCAATGAAATTGAAAGGGAAGCAATCATCCATAATTCATTTCTGGAAGCAAGTATTACTCTGATACTAAAGCCAGAAAAAGACTCAACCAAAAAGGAGAACTATAGGCCAATCTAACGAGTGCTGATGCACAGATTCTCAATAAAATACTGACAAATAGAATGCAGCAAATCATCAAGAAGATTATATACAATGACCAAGTGGAATTTATTCCAAGAATGAAGGGATGGTTTAACATATGCAAATCAGTAAATATAATATACCACATCAACAGAGCCAAAAACAAAAACCACATGATTATCTCCATAGATGCAAAACAAAAAGTTCAACACTTGTTCATGATAAAAATCCTACAGAAACTTGGAATAGATGGCACCTACCTCAATCTCATAAAGGCCATCTGTTGTGGTTCATATCAGTGACCCCAAGCTTCATGGAATTATGGATGTGACCAAATCTAGCATTTGTGATTGGTTGATTGTATAGTGCTTAGTTTGGTGGTGTGAGAGTTTTACCTGCCCAAAGATGGAGCCAGGATATGATGTAAAGGTGGGAAGGATGTGTGTTGTTCTCTTGCAGGTTTGTGCCTTGCTGTTTGCAGAGGCCATGAATGGCTGCCCCACCATGCCATTCTGCCTTGGAGCCAGCTAAATATGGAATGAAACTTCCAAGAACTGTAAGAAATAAACCTTTCTTCCCTAATTTTGGGCATCAGGTATTTTGTCTCAGCAATGAGTAAAATCTAACAGAATTTGGTATCAACAGTGGGGTGTTGCTCGGACTGTACCTGACCATGTGGTTTGAGAGCCTTTGGAAATGGCTTATGAGCAGAGTTTGGAAAGGTTCAGAGATGTCACCTGATTACAGGTGTGTGCTGCCCAGCAATCCAGGCACTTGACCCCTACAGCCAAGAGACAGAAAAGCCTGGCTACTGTTCCAACTGACAGGAAAGCTTGGCGGCATGCATGAGGCACTGATTT